CGTCATGCAACACATGTTCAATACAAGAAACATTCAGACGCATTGTATACCTAGCATGGGACCCATGATAAATGCATCGCAGTGTGATGACTGTTCTGTGACGCTTTCAAAATACGAATTTGTTTCCATGGTTTCACAGGATCAGTGAAATATTTATCACATGCCATTCTAGTTACATGTCTGTTTCTATAATTCATCTTTGATGTTCACTGTCAATGATTTTGCAACAATCAGAGACATGAAATTCTGGTTACCTGGTTCTAAGAATCAAAAATTACACATTTTGTTAATATTAATTCTGGTTTTGAAAAGTTACATCAATGTACCCATGATAATATAATTTCATCATATTAAATAGCGTGTGCGACTGTCAGTGTCTCTTTCACTGTTGTATCCAATTATTGTGACAATTAATCCATCAAGTTGACAGATCAAATCTCTGAAATTTTCTGTGAAAGAGTTTATCACAATTGGAAATATTTCATCCGACCATTGACAAATATCATACTCTGAACTTAAGGTTCAAAATTACCTTTGATTTTAGGGAAATTATCTGAATATATTTTGGTGGGAAATAAAATTAGTCGTTTGATAGGTGTAGCTAGGTAACTCTGCAGATTCATGGTTGCCATGGCAATCTTACAGAGGAATTTAAATGTATGGTATGGAATTATAAGATTATAACTGACATTAATATCATTATCTGACAGGCTTTATTTGATGAATACGTTATTAATTTTTGAATATTTCCTCTAAATCTCTTTTTTCAAGTATTTCAACAGTTGTCATAATTCAATGTAAAAACATATTTGTAGACCCAATAACCAATCAAATTTCAGACTCTGGATTTATAAATATCTTTTAAGTATAAACGTGACAAATGAACCGCTTTAGAATCACAAAACAGATTGACATTTACTTTATGATTACAAATTTGTAATCACTCGTCTCTAACCTAATTTTTTAAAAATTTCTTTTTCAGTGAAACTCATTTGCTATATGTGCTTAATTTAATCTTTTATACAGTTCTCATTGCAGTTCATTTGCAATTTAATACGGCATTTTGTTTCGTCAGTCGGGTTAAAATGGCACCGCTCAGGTGTTAATCAAATTATAATGTGTTCTGACTCGGATGATTACAGTCATTCATATCAAATTGTGATGGTGAATTAATTATGTATTTCTCTAGGATCAAATGTTTTGTTATTTCATAAAATTAATTTTTTGACATCGTTTTTTTTTATGTATGTATCCATTGTGTGAAAGATGGGATTTAATTGCTCTTTCTAGAGTGATTCTTGTCAAATTAATCCATACACTTGAAGGAACTCAAAAGTCTTGAAAGTGATTAATCTATTAAAGTGATGCTGTAACTGAATATGTGTGTCTGGGAGGCTCACAAAAAGATGTATATTTACCTTGTGAGATAAAAGCCTGGTTAATATTTAAAGGCCAGCTAATAAACAAAATACAAAAAAAATTAACAAAGCCAACTCGGGTGATGAATTATTATTTTCAGTGTCTCTGTACAATCCGTTCTAATGCAAGCGTGTTATATTTCTTTATAGGTGCTCAAGTTCACTGTCTCTGTTTACAATTAGCCATTTGTCAGTGTCAATCGTCTCCAAGTGCATCTTTGTTTCTTCAGTCGTGGTTGTCTCCAGCTTTGTTTCATAGTTTACAGGTGAGTTGACCTGCGATAAATGATGTAGAAATGTTAATGCGCTTTCCTGGTGTCTTAACCAGACCCTGTGGCTCTGTCGCCCCAAAAGTTGCCCCAAAGGTTGCCCCAAAGTCTCGTTCCAATGTGGCTTTGACTTCCACATTGAATCTGTGTCACATAACCAAGGTATAGCCCATTGGTGTTCTCACGCCAGGTAAGATTTGAACTCCAGAAGCCACCTATCATGAGCACAACAACAAATTAACATAGAGTGATTATCACTTTTACGTTATTTTAATTTTTTTCAATATATACAACATTTTTCTACTCAGTAAAAACATCTTTGGTTTAAATTAAATAGT